GGTTGCGATCCGTTGCCGGACACGGAAAAAACAGACAAAAGACAAAAAAAAAAAAAAAAACACAGGAGTGAAGTATACACAATGCAGGGACTACACAACCATAGCGTTAATAAAAACTACAGAAATATTAAAAAATACATAGAATAAGTGGCTCTCTTAAACCTACCAAGGGATGATACGTAAGTAATATTTGAGTAATTTACGGGATTTTCGATGGTAAATTTGACCTAAGTATGGTCTTAGAGAGACAACACTTACATGATCACCTATGCTGTACTATATTTTAGAAAGATGAATGAATAAAAATAAGCAGCAAATCATCTGAATGTGAATATCAAAGGAAGCTTACCACGAATGCTACTGTACTTCTCCATGTGGATTCCCACTGGAAGCAGCTTTTAAGGAACTGTATTGTATTCCAGATTGCCATAGTGATTCTTTTCACGCGCTCTACATCTCTTGATAAGATCTGAACATAAAAAGAAAAAAAGAAAAAATGGGAGCTACCTTTAAATACTCCAAATATTCCCTTTAGATCAGGTAGACTGATCATTTAAATTATATTCTGTATGGCTGCCAATTAAAAAAAAAATTATAGAAAGGAAACATCCAGATACTCCTAAAATTCTTTTTTAAATACAAGCATCCATATAGGGGAAAAAAAATCCAATGCATTTTGTAGCTTATTTGATGAAGAATAATAGCCTGCTTCAATAATGTTCAGCACAAAACTGAGCTGGTAAAAGCTACAGCAGCCACGTATTTGGTGTGGGTATATCTGTGTGTGTGTGTTACAGAAACACAGAGAGAGATCTAGAAAGAGACAGACAAAGAATGGGAATGAGTATGTTGTTTAGTTTGGAAGCAAATGGATAGATTTACGGTAGAAACACACAAGTGTTATGATTCACCTAGTCCAGAAGTCTGTAAGAATTCTGGGAAGGGAATCCAGTTCCCCAGCTTCCTATCTGTGCAGCCTTGGGCAAGTTACTTAACCTCTCTCATAAAATAGGGTTGATATTAGTTCTAATCTTCCAAGTTGCTGATGGAATTAAAAGGCTTAGAAAAGTGCCAGCCATGTAGTAAGTGCTTTTGAGTATTTTTAACATAAGCATGTTTCAACTTTATGAAAATTTGGGGGTATTAAGTGATGAAAGGCACATGGGGAGGGTCTTAGCATACCCCAGGATTTCAGCCTCAAATATCCTGGTGCTCTCTGAGCCCAAAACCACCCCACGTAGAGGTTGTGTTTTGCAAAGGAAATGTCTTTTCTCCCAGTTGTAGACAGATTCATTTCAACTTGTTTGCAAAGCAGCCACCCAACCTACCTCAACTCAGGTTTTAACTTTCAAGTAAACAGAGTGAAAGGCAATAATAATAATAAAAAAATAAGACATTTACTCAGATTACACAAAATCAATATTACACTCAATGTTGTGGCAGACCAAAACAAAACACGCAGACGCTTCCTTTCAGAAGACGCTTAAGGCCTTTCTCAAGTGCGTCCAGAAGTTCATGGAAACAGAAGGAAGATAAGATGGCTTTATATTTAACTGCTTTATGCAATCCACAGCTGCTCACTCCAGAGGAAGTGCTGGAAGTAATAAACACTTTAAAAAGGGGACACTTTGTTCTTTGCTGCACAACTGAAGGACAATAGGTACAGAGTGAAATCCTGAATTGTGCCTGAATAGGACAGGGAGGGACTCAAAAAATGTAAAGGTCATGGCAAAAAAAATGTGACACTTCCCATACTAGGTCCTGATCTTCACTTTCTGTTCAACTGATGAGAGAGGAATTAAGGGCAACAGGCAGAGGGAGAGACAGTTGATTCAATAGGAGGTGAAATGCCAACACATCCCAAATTTAGACCACACAAAAGTGGCAGGGGCAGTCACGGGTGACTGTGAGGCCAGAAGTCACTCAGGATCCGCTGGGTGATTCCGTTACAGACTCAACAGGCAGAACGCCTCCCTGAGACTCCGAAGGGCAGAGAGGGGCTGTGCTGTGGGGAGAGGAGGGTAGGCAGGGCAAGCAAACCCAGGAGGACAGTTATGGGGTCTCGACTTTCAGGACTGTTGATAGAATGACTCAGGGGAATAACGGGGGCTGACCCCTTCTGCTGCAGCCAATAGATATGTTTTAAGTCTTCCCTTTCTTACTGAGCTGAAGACCTTGTTTTGGGAGATAAGAGGACAAGGAGAAAGAAGTGGAGAGGTGAGGAGAGAAAGGAGGGGAGAGAGGGAGGAAGAGAAGAAAGCAAGTTGTGACAAGTACTTCGGGTGCTGGGTGCTGAGTGCACCAACAAGTCAGCTCACCACACCGACCTACCTTTTTGGACAGCTTGCGGCTGTCTTCAACAAAGCGCTTTTCTCTGGGAGTAAAGGTCCTAATACATGCCTTGACCTAGAAAGACATCATTATTAAAAAGGACAGCATTTATGAGTATATGGACTTTGTTTTTCTTGTTTTCATCCTAATGACTGGGAAGGACATGGAACCCAATAGCTTCTGACCCTGAGGCCTTTAGCAGGCAGTGTAGAAGTGGCGGATACCCCTGTGCTCTGCATGTGTTTCTCATGATCTCATTTCGTGAGAGTCCCTGGGAGAGTGTTGTCTCCACTTTGCTCATTCGGTGGAGTTATTTTAAACCACTGCAGAGACTGAGGTTCATAAAGTTCTCAAACTAACATCTCTAAAAGATAAAATTTCTCTCTCACATCATTTTGAGCTAAGCTTTCACCAGTAATATCTGGCATGTGAATATCAGTATATCAGTTTTCAGCTTACTTAAAAAAAAAAACAACAACAACCTTTTCCACAGAGATACTCATTTCCTTTCAATGACTTAGAAAAATAAGTTAGATGGGCCATCTTAGCCCCATTTTACAGGGAATAAACTGAGGCTCAGAGGAATTTAGTGACTTGTTCAAGCCACCAGACTTAGGAAAACCTCAAAGAATAAAATTCAAGTCCTTCTCTATGATGAACAACTAAAAAAATTACTTAGCCAAGATATTTTCTATTTAACCCTAACCCTTCTTTTTTCTTAAACTCAGGTTTTACCTGTGTGTAAACTTATATACAAGTGCATGCCAGAAGAAAGTGCCAGGTGAGTGTGATCTGTTGTGTAACACACATCTATGATCTTGAAGGGAAAAGGAAGGACATGGAAAGAAGAAGAAACAACACGCCCTTATGCCGAACACGTACCCAGAGTTCCAGCATTAATTGAGAACTTAAGACTATAGATCTGCGGGTGCTTCAAAAAGTTCATAGAAAGATTTGTATTGCCTTTTAATTCTATTTTTCCATGAACTTTTCGAAGTACCCTCATACAAACATTTTATTATATATTATATATATTTATTACATGGGTTATATATAGATTGTATATCATATTAATTTTATACAATGTATAGATCGCATAAAAATAATTTTTACTTTTTTATTTTTTCCTTAACATTTACATATATTGAAAATTAAACAACATCAATTCTGCTGACTCAACAGGGTTAATACCAATTGAAAGCTGAGATGTTCAGCATCAGTATTATGGCTGAGTTTCGAAACACTCTTCTCCCCTCTCTCCAGCTGCAACAGTTCTGAAATATTTTACACCGATGAGTCTCTAAAGGCTGGTCACCTTTTATTTTAGGTACAGAAGAGCTGGGAGCTATGGCCCAGTTAGACTTACCGGATTATATATGAGGTCCATCTCTAAGTAAATAACTCCTTTAAAAGCGTGTTCTAAATCTTTATTCTTCAATACATAACAATTTGGCTGTCCATCTCTAATCTGTCACAAATGAAAGATAAAATACATATTGGTGCAAACTTTCTATGTGGTTTTAACTGAATAACCAGAACTAATTTTGGCAAAGTTGAGAATGCGGAATTATAACAATGAAATAAATATTAAGTCTATCATAAATCAACTGAATCTTAGAGTACTGTTGTAACTGATAGGAAGATGAAGTAAAAATTCCCAGGCTGTAAATGGTGTGTTGATGGAAAATTATTGGTGCAAATAATGAATGGATTACACAGACTTTTCCTTCCAAAATCCCAGAGGTTACACATTTTCATTTAATCAGAAATGATGAATATTCTACAAAATTCCTGGCTAATATGCCCCATGACTATCAAGGTCATGGGAAAAAAGGAAAGATAGGAAATTGTCATAGATCAGAAGAGACTAAGGAGATAAAATGCCTGAATGCAATTTAGTACCCTGGATTGGATCCTGGAACAGAAAAGGAACGTTAGTGCAAAAACTGGTGAAATCCAAAGAAAGATCAGATTTTAGTTAATAATAATGTACCAGAGTCAGTTTTGTTTTTAGTTTTTTTCTTAGTTTTAACAAATGTATTATAATAGTATGTTAACATTAGGAAAAACTGGCTGAGGGGTATATGAGAACTCTATTCTCTTTACAACTTTTCTGTAAATCTAAAATTATTCTCCAAAAAAGGTTATTAAAGTATTTTAAAGAAATAAAGGAACTGATTTGAACCAATGATCAGTGTTTCACTAGCCAGGAAACAATGCAAATTAAATATATACATTAGCCTAACCAAAGTTGAGGTCAAAATCCAAAAAACATTCACAATGTACAAAGTGTGGACAAATCTTCACAAAAAACACATTCCTCTGATAGCCTCTCTCTCTGCCAGAGTGTCACATTGGGTCCATACATCTATCTACCTGTGGACCTCAGCATGTAAAACATCTAAGAAAAACATCCCCTGTATCATTTTGGAAACTATTCGGCTCCCATTTAAGTTATGTTAATTAGCCTGATTTAATCACTCTCTTTTCAGATTTGAGAGCAGCCATGCTTTTATCATACACAGTAGTAGTATGTGTATGATTAAACTTCTGGTTTTAAGAAGTATACCCATTAGCTCTAAAAGGGCATCAGCAAACCTTGAGTTTATCAAAAGCTCTGTTTGGGATTATAATGATGAGAAATTTAAATAATATAGGAAATTTGTGGCATGTAATCTTAGCCATATTTTAAATGACTATTGCTGTCACTACAAGCATTCAAACAAGTGTCCTTATAAACAGTGGTGGAATTGAGTTGAATAAGTCACAGGGGGAAACAGGGCAATTCCACTTAACAAGGGAGAGGTCATCTTCCTTCCCAAAGTCACCCCACCTCTCTCAGATTGAATAGGTTTTATACAGAAAGATGGTTTTCCTGCCCAGTGGCTACGAGGAAGGGGGTGTCCCATAAAGACCTGGTTTCCTTCCCAAACGCTGTCCAAACAGGATTCTGAGCTTCCGCTTTGATACACAGTCTCACTTAATAAATTGTGAGTGTTAAAGTTGAAAGAAATAAATACAAAAACAGTGTGACAATTTACCAGGCTGACTTCTGCCCAATTTAGCATTGCCTCCACTGTCATTGTACTGTTATCTTAAAATTTCCATGATTTCTTAAGGGTTGAGGAGGGTCAACAGAAGAACAAGAGGTATCAGTACAAAAAGAAATATTTTATAGAAAAAGTTCTTGGGTTTTTTTTTAATGATTTGGTAAATTACCATTTCCTGTTTCTCAATGTCCCTAGCATTGTGTCAAGGGAGGGTCAACAGAAGAACAAGAGGTATCAGTACAAAAAGAAATATTTTATAGAAAAAGTTCTTGGGGTTTTTTTTAATGATTTGGTAAATTACCATTTCCTGTTTCTCAATGTCCCTAGCATTGTGTCAGCAAAACCCAGAACCCACCTTGGGACATTAAAGCCATCAAAGCTAGAGATATAAACAAAGCTGTTCATATTTAGCACATTAATAGAAAATTATCTTAAAACATACAAATTACAAATTTAAGAAATTGTAGAAAAGTTTAAAAATTACAGAAAAAAATTAAAATCTCTTTGAACTTCTACAAACATCACAATCATTTCCCCCTGGCCATAAACTGGATAGAAATTTGGCTTTTAGCCTTCCTAAATTTTTACTGGGAATTTATATTCATAAATACAGACTTGAAAAAAGTATCTAAATTTGGGGGATTGAGGAGGTAAGTTACAAACTGTATGTTTTTGCAACTTCACTTTGTATCTATCAATATGATCTGGTAACTTATTTATAGTAGCATATAGATCAGCCTCATTCTTAAAGCTGCTATGTAATATTCAAAATGTGAATTAACTATAATTTATTAATTCTCCTACTGATAAATATTTGGTTGATTCCACTTTTCCAGTCTGTCTCCTACAGGAAATATCTTTTGGGAGAAGGTAACAGGTAAGGGAAAGAGGAGTTTGTATTCGGAATGTATTTGGGTTGACAACAGGTGACTATTTAGTGTTATAACCAACACTGAAATAGTAACAGAAGAGACTGATTTCTAAAATATTCTCATTTTCCACTGTCTTTATATAGTTCTAACCCAAGAATACAGGATAAAAACTTGTTCTGTTACATCCCCACTCTCATACATGAGAGCATTTATATAATAGTAAATGAATACTAAGCATGTATATATAATGTCTAAAATCGATTAATGTTTATAAGTTAGAACTCTGAAAATTATTTCTAACAGTTTATAATTTTAGAACATCTATTAAATAGGATAATTAAAGCACAGTCAGAAGAAAATTTAGAGGAAAGTATCTGTATACACTTTCATTCCTAAACATGAGATAGCATTTCGATTGAAACCAAAGTTAAATTTTGAGTCAGCAAAGGAAAAAGGAATGGCATGAGTACAGTTTCAATTTATGACAAAAGGAAGATTCAGTTTCATTTGAGAAGTATTTCTGGGCTTACAGCTCAGAGACTTCATCTCACTCAAATATAAAGGTTGTGGATAAAATAATAGATAATGTCTTTAACTTCGGTTTTGCAAGATAAGCTTCAAATTGACTTACCACACATCTCTATGCACTTGTCTTTTCATAGGTGAAGAGTACACAGTATTGGGCAACAATTTGTGAAAGGCATCTCCACAGGGAAGTACTATAGATTTAGCTTAATTAGGAACAAAAATGTCCATAATCAGGAAAATGGACATTTTCACGTCCCTTAGATTATTTTCAGAAATAATATGATATCATAAAGCTTTAATCAAGAGCATGCTAACAGTTAATCCCTGGTTAAATTAGCCAATGAATGAAAGAGTATAGGAAGTCCATTTCTGAGTAATAATTCAGGGTTTTGTACCCAGAGGATAAGTTACTGAGAAACTCACAACCACCCATATTCAAATATTTTTCTATATAAAAGAATATTAAATCGATTTTTCTTTTTGTCTTTTTTTTTTTTTTTCGTGACTCGCAATGGATCACAACCCTCAGTGTTGCGCCCGTACCGGACCGGGACCGGCTACGGGATTGCAACCCTCGGTGTTGCCCCCGCACCTCGCTCAGCCAGTGAGCAGCCGGTCTGTATGTGTAGGAAGTCCATTTCTGAGTAATAATTCAGGGTTTTGTACCCAGAGGATAAGTTACTGAGAAACTCACAACCACCCATATTCAAATATTTTTCTATATAAAAGAATATTAAATCTACTTAAATAAGCTGTAAGCACAGTAAATATGAAGAGCTTTTTCAAAGTATGTTGGTAAAACTAATTTTTGAGTCAAAGAGATGCTATATTCATTAAATTAGAAAACTAAACTATTTTATAATCAACGTATAACAGAAATTGGTATGTGAGAACAGAGAAAAAAAACCTTCACGTCATCTGGAACTTTATAAAAAGAATTGTCATTGTTATGCTGCACTGTAAAAGTATTTACTGAAATGAGTTACCAAGAGGTTCAATAGCAAAGTTAATCAGAATCAATCTGAAGGAATAAAATCATCATTTGGTTTAGAGAGGAAAGATACACACTTAAGATCAAATCCAAATTAAGGAGTCAAATTGATTCCCCCACTGTCTGACCTTCAAGTTAGAAAACGGAGGACATTTGGGTGTAAACCAGTATTATTCTATCCAATGCCTTTCATTCCATGCAAAAGGGGAAAAACTTTCACATGACATCGCCATGACATACCAGTTGGTCCCAGAAGATGCACATGAAAAGTGCCTCTCCAATAAAATGTGATAAGGACAGACACATGGCTGGACAAGAGGAAAATAAATACGCTTGGTAGCAATTCACACTCTAGTCCCCACTTGGAATTATGACTGGTTCCAAAGACATGAGTTACAAACAGCATGAGGGATGAAAATGTCCGCAAGGTCAGTTTGCCCTGCACAGAGCACAGCCACCAACCAGTAGGGGCAGCACGGCATTCACCTCAAACCTCCTGCACTTACAAGTCACCTCCTCTCCCTGCCGAGGCATCCCATCCATCCACTGCCTGGAACCAAAACTAGCTTTGAACTTGGAAATGGCCCAAAACCCTGGTGCAGCCAGCACGTCTTATCAACTGCTCTCTCTCCCCAAAATACTAGCTATCTTCACAAAAGTAATACACATGAATTCTAAAAATTCTGTAAAATTTACAGANAATCCCTGGTTAAATTAGCCAATGAATGAAAGAGTATAGGAAGTCCATTTCTGAGTAATAATTCAGGGTTTTGTACCCAGAGGATAAGTTACTGAGAAACTCACAACCACCCATATTCAAATATTTTTCTATATAAAAGAATATTAAATCTACTTAAATAAGCTGTAAGCACAGTAAATATGAAGAGCTTTTTCAAAGTATGTTGGTAAAACTAATTTTTGAGTCAAAGAGATGCTATATTCATTAAATTAGAAAACTAAACTATTTTATAATCAACGTATAACAGAAATTGGTATGTGAGAACAGAGAAAAAAAACCTT